TAGAGTATTTTGAGTATATGCTATTTAGATTTTAATTTTAGTCGATTTAGTACACCTTTTCCAATTTTGGAAATGTTTTTTTGACATTTTATTTCGTAAAATAATTATTTTCTATATGTATCGCATTAATATTAACGGCAATTCAACATTGTGATTTATTCTTCACTTTATATATTACTTTTAACCAGACAACAAGACCTATTTAATGTGTCTAGTCCTATTCTTGCTTCTTAAATATGCTCTTTTTTATCCGGCTTTCATGTTAATCTAACAATGAGTTAGTTGTCCTTGTTGGGTTCCCAAACTTTTCCTAGTTGCGGCGCCCTTTTTCAATTAAAATTTTTCCATTGCGCCCTACCCTAAGTATGACTATTCGTAAGTAGGAGATAAAAATAAATAAAACTCGCGTATCTTCATTATTTTTTACTTTATTAATATTAAATTAGTATTTAATGACTAATGTGATGGATGAGCCTGCAAATCACTGCACATTTTCTCAAATTGAAGCTTTCATAATATTTCGCGGCGCCTTGTAAAGAGGCCGCGTCGCACTGTTTGGGAATCACTGGCTTAGAGGTTTAAGGTTTTATCATATCCTCTCTTCGTTGCTATTAACTTACTAGCCTCTCGTTTCTTTCTCACTTTCCACTTCAGTTTGGCAACCTCAGTTTTTTCGAAGAGCTCGATAGTCTTTCCCAGGAACTCTGCACTACCATTGATCACTGTAATTTTGCCGCCCTGAGCTTTTCCGAATCAGCTTCTCTCAATTTTTTAAAGCTAGCTGCTCCTGCTATGCGTTCGTGTTCTTGTCTAGTAGCTCACTTTACCCGAGTTCACATCAACCTTAGGCGTCGTTGGGCCATTCGTCGGATTGAAGCTTGTCTCGCGGACTCCAATCTGCAGCTTTACGCTGACTACCAGGCTAGATTGAAAATTCTTGAACAGCTAAAGTTTCTTGACAGTTCAGTCGGAGATTATTGCCTTACTTTGAAAGGTATTATTAATTTATCACTGCTTTTATACCAATATTATGGACTGCTTGAAGGTCATATTATTCTAGCCTACATTTTGATAAATTTATGAGTATGTTTTTTTGATTATAATAGAATTCAGTCTTTCATGACAGAAAATAGATCCAAATTCGTGGAGTAATCAATGGTAATAGAAGAGATCAATTGGAGGATTCCTTGTAGTTTATAGGCAAGAATTAGATTCACAATGAAAGTAAATGAAGAGAGGCGTAACCTTTTCTAGATGTTGAAGTCATTCGCTCGAACAGGACACAGGATAAAATTTTTAAGAAAGCAGTTATTTGAAAAAATTATATTATATTTCCAGTTTAATCACAACTACAGATTGAAGCTCGAAATAATGAGGAGCATGATCATCGGAAGTTTACGATGAATGGACGTTAAATTCTGGTATTTGTCAAATTGACTAAGATGTTCCCCTGCAACGGATGCCCGAGGGAAGTAGTACAAAGAAAAATACGTGCCGTCAAAAGTCGATGACAGGACCGGGATTATGAAGGAAAACTAAGGATAGAAGAAGATTAACAAAAGTGGGTATGCCTTTCTTCCTGCGAATTACCTTTAAATCTATGGCCGAAATTAATAAAATGGATTATTAAGGTGATCACGAAGTAAAAAACAACACTGAATAAGATATGAAGACCAAGATGGTGTGGCCTTTTGTGTGGTCGCAGTCTCCTTTCGTTGTATAGAAGT